TTGCATCACGTGACAAATAGATCTGGAATTCATTTTTTGGTGTGACGGGGTCTAACAATGATATTAACGTGCTGAATCAAAGCAATGTCTTCACGGATGTCATTATGGGTAGATCTCCCATTGTGTGATACATGGTTAACGTGAATCAGTACGACTTGGGGTACTATCTTGCTGACGGGATATACCTGGAATGGGCAACGCTCATGAAGTCAATTCGTCATCCCCAATTGCCGAAAGATAAATTGTTCGCACAACGTCAAGAATCCGCAAGAAAGGATGTTGAGTGTGCTTTTGGGATTTTGAAGGCATGCTTCAGAGTGGTGGAAACTCCCACGCATTTGTGGCTGATAGCTGACATTAGCGATATAATGACGGCTTGTGTAATCATGCGCAACATGATCGTCGAGGACGAAGGACACGTTTGGGATACTGAAGACTTGGAGTTTGAGGGTGACTACGAGATCGAACCTCCAGAACACACTTTTGGGACACCACAACATATTGCTAGATTACTTGAGCGTGACAGCCAAGTTCAAAGTCGAACAATGCACAACCGTCTAAAAAATGATTTGGTGGAGCACATATGGGCAAGGTAGATCCTACACGTTCATGAACATTGATGTTTTAGGAAATAAGGTTATCTCGGAGGAGGATTGGTAGTTGTTCGGAAATAAGGATGATTTCTCAAATCATCCAAGTTATCTAGGTGTAGGTGTAGTTTTAAGAAAGAAGGAAGATTTCTCAAATCATCCAAATTATACAGGAGTAGGGGTAGTTTTAGGAAGTAAGGATGATTTCTCAAATCATCAAAGTTATCTAGGAGTAGAGGTAGTTTTAACAAAGGATGATTTCTCAAATGTAGGCATTTACAAATATGAATGACCATTGTAAATAAATAAAGGTGCTGTATCCCCAATTTGTGCATGCCATGTATATAAATAAATGAATTGCAATCGGTGCCATATAAAGTGCACAGGACAAAACAATTAGGAGATAATCAGCAACGGACCGACTAAGTTCAGCAAGCCAACACAAAATAGGTCAGGTACATACACCATCAACTAACCGAAACCCACAGACATATTGCTTTGACACATGCCATCATCCACCTTACAGACACCATACATAACCCATATCACAACATTACACAGTTCACAGTCCTAGCTAAATATATAAGCATGTTATATATCTGTTGCTTCCATACTATCCATGTTGTCACGCCATGAACCTAACCCTGCAGGGAAAAAATACAGCATGTCAAAAATGGTTGTGAATTTTAAATAGAGGGGGACATTATATGCAGCCGTATAGTTAGGCTCAAGCATTGGCATCAATACTTAGTTACAAACATAACTCATGCTTCAACTACAGTGACCTAATCATGCAGATTAGGCACATTGCAACTCATAATAGCACAGATTTGAGATCCCAGAGCAATCGCGGCTTTCAATTTTGCTAGTTAGAATTCACATGTTACTTCTTGCACATATCTGCATTACAACATCTACTTCAGTCAACCAGTTCTGAAGTACAAACACTCTGTCCATCGCCCAATGATCATCTCTACGGGAAGTATCAAGAACCATGCACTAAACTAATCATACAGCCAATAACTAAACTTTATGAATTTGAGCAAACATGGCACATCCAACCTGTCCATAAATTTTTAACAAAGGAGCAGAGCCCTCCATTCCAATATCTCAAATGACAACAAAATCATCCCACATCTCAAATTACAATAAAATCATGAAACAGCTCAAATGACAAACAAATTTGAAATGACATTCGAGTGAGATCCAAAACTTCTTGGCTGCTACAGTAGATGGAGAAGCCACTGGCGCGGGTGTAGCTGGAGCCAGCGCCGCATTCACCTTCTCAAAACCTGGTGGCACCTCCGGGAAGCCTAAACCTCCCTGCGCCGCATCTGCCTCCCCCTCCACAGCGATGACCCCGAGATAGATCGACGAGCCGACGCTCTCCGCCCTCACCGGCGCCGGCGTAGATCACAGGCGCGAAGTACCTGCCCCTACCGCCGTTCCCCTATTCTTCTTCCCGCCATCCCTAGCCACTGTGGACGGGGTATAGCCCGGCGGGAGCAGCACAAGGCCACTACGGAGCTCAATCTGCGTGAACTTGGGGCGGTCGTCCATGGTTTCGGGCGGATCAGAGGAGCGGCGGAGTGGGAGGATGAGACGACGACCGACGGGAGTGAAGCGCGGCGAGAGGCGGGCGAGGCGGACAGACTAGAGAGAGGGGATGGAATGGTCGAATGGTTACAGTCGGTGGCGAGGGAAGGGCAACGGCGTGTGTGGCGGAGTGGGAGGAGGCGGTAGCGAGAGGAGGGAAGGAGGCATGGCGACAGGTGGTCGAGGGCTCGAGGCGGAGAGACGAGAGGAATGGCCGAATGGATAGGATCGGCATCGTCCAGCCAGGGTAGGTGGGGAAAAATTTTTGGGGGCGGCCCATGACCTCGCGCTAGCATAGGCATGCCCATTGTGGGCTTCGTACCCTTTACCAGTGCCTCCATTGAATTAAGCTACACAACTAGAGGTGCTTGCACTGTGGGATAAGTGTCTATGGACCAACTTTTTGGGCTAGGGGTACGGGCCCCATAGCTTGCACTGTGAGAGGCCTTATTCTACTATGGCCAGGCCACTGTACATTGGGCTAAGACATGCCTCTACATGGTGAGAATGCATTGCTCTACATGGGGTTTGAGGCTTATGCCCTGGGATGTCGCAACCTGAGTCCGCCATGCTCGTGTGTTTGATTTCCGAACATGCACTATTTTAGCCTCATCGATTGGCTTATTTTGATTATCAATGATAAAAAAAAATTATTGGTAAAACTTTTACATATGTGTTTTTAGAGATTTAAAAGTCACGGTAAAATATAAACTACAACGAGAAAACCTTTAAAGCAACTTTAAAATTAAGCAAACTTTGCTACAGGAGTGTAACTTCGTGATTTTAGCTATAGAACATCGCACAAAATAACTTTTGAATCGTGAAAATTAGCTCTTGGATACCACACTTATTAGAATATTCAATTTTGATTCAATAGGAGAGAGAAACCGTGTGAAAGTTTTAAAATACCCCTGGGCCCATATGTAAGGTCTCCCATCTCTCTCTCATGCACACAAGGCATGCATATAAAGCCTTAAAGTTCTGAAATGTCGTCGCACACCCTAGCCTTCGCATCTTTGACGACACCAGCCTTCTCTAGCTGCCCTGTCACGCCAGCAGCTCCACATCACTTCCGTGTGGGTTTGCCCTCAACTTTCCCATCCATTACTTTGCCATGGATGGCCACCCTTTCTCCTAGATTCCACCTCTGCTCCACATCTGTCACCAAAGTTCCAGGAAAAAACCTCCTCATCTGGCAACACGTTTTGACGCGCTCAGTCGGTCACGTTCACCACTGGAGCTTGCCACTGACGTCTCTCTCTCCTCTGGGACCATGTGTTTATTGTTCGTGTTCCTGAATCTTTAATCCTCCTCATTGCTGGTTGCCGCCACCTACGGAAGAGTCACAGCATAGGATGTGCTCGCCTGGTCACATTCACCACTAGGGCTTTCCACCGGCGTTTCTCTCTACTCTGGGACCGTGTGTTTGTTGTTCACATTACTATATCTTAAATCCTCCTCGTTGCTAGCTGCCACCACCTAGGGAAGAGTCATGGCATGGGACGCGCTCAGCCACCGCCATCACGTTCATTCCCTCGCGGAAGTCCTAATGCCCTCACACATTCTCCATTGCTTGTTCTGTAATTGACATGAGAAAGAAGATGAAAAGTGCCAAGTGTACTGTTTAGACTGAACTAGTGAAATAGTAACCAAACCATAATGATGGGTAGGGGTGGAGATATTTAGACCGAACCGAAGAACCGAACCGAAGAACCTAACCGAAAAGACCGAGACCGAGAAATTCGGTTATCTTTTCGGTCCTAGCCCTCAAAAGACCGAATTTATTTCGGTCATTTCGGTTATTGGGCTCGGTTAACCGAATTAACCGAAATTTTAGCCCAATAGACCTAGGAAGCCCAATAAAACCACTAAAACAAACCCTATCACCACTGCCGCATAGTGCACTGCCACAAGCCACAGCGCTGACTCCTCCTCCAGCCCCCACCGCGCCGCCGCCGCCACTGCCGGCTCCGCCACCACTGCGCCGCCACCTCCTCCAGCCTCCCCTGCGCCGTGGCCCGCCTCCGCCCTCCACCGCGCCACAGCCAACGCCTCCGTCCTCCACCGGCGGCGCCTCTATCAAATTTTTTCGTTCCAAACATTCTCCTCAAAAATTTCAGTCAGAACAAGACCGAGACCGAAAAGACTAAGACCGAATTTGCCGGTCCTGAGTTTTTTTTATGAAATTTGGTTCTGAGTTTACAAAGACCGAACTGACCGAAAAACTGAAGACCGAGACCGAATTTTTCGGTCTGACCGAACGCCCACCCCTAATGATGGGAGATAGGACAAGTGATCTTAGAGGTATTTTTGAAGTTTCACGTGATTTCTCTCTCCTGATTAACTAGAAACGAATATTGTAACTGACGTGATGTATATGACGTGATGTATATGAACTAATTTCCACGTTTATATAGTGTATTCTCCGTAAGTCATTGCATGGTGTCGCATAACTAAAACCGCAAAGTCACGTTTGCCATGTACCAAAATTTATGTTAAAATGGTCAATGAGCTTTTTTTTTTCCACATGAAACATGACCAACGAGCTTGAGCCGTCCGATCTGCGCAGCCAGCTCCCATCGGACGTTCCCCACCCGCCCTCGACAACGGTGAAACGTCGTCTCCACGCCTCACGCATGCACCCACCCATACAGATACCGAATTGATGTGCACACGAGGCAGGCAAGACAGGGGAGAGGCAGCCCGTGGGCCGTGGCGGAGGCGAGGTGGCCATTGGACGCAGTCACATGACCAAAGTGGAATGCAACCCACACACGCACGGAAACAAATGCAATCCACCACCATCGTCGTCTTCTCTCTCCTTACCAACCAAACGCAGTGGCAGTACTAGTAGCGTCCAAGATCCCCATCAACCAGAGCAGCAGCAGCGGAGCGGCAGAGGATCGGAGGCAGGCAGGGAGCTCACCCACCTCCACCGCCAAAAGCTTTCCCTTCCTCCATCCATCAGGATTCAGGCATCAGCCCCCACCACCTCAAAAAACAACCTCAGATTCGTTTGTTCACTTCACTCACCCAGTTAACTTTGCGAGGAGAGAGAGAGAGGCAGTTTGAGTGCAACGCAAGCCAAGCCGGTGTCAGGCTCAGACCCCGCCCAGGAGGAGCAGCAGCTGACACAGCTTTCTTCTTCCTTCCTGCTTCCTCCTCCAGTCTCCAGAGCAGTGGTGTCGTGGTGGGAGCGCACCCGCACCCGCACCCGCATCACAAGGCGGCAAACGCAAGCGACCAACAAATTAAGGAGAATGCAGCAGCAGACCACGGGTGGGGTCGCCACCAGGAGGCGGCTGTCGGTGCCGAGGGGTGCCGGTGCGGCGGCGGCGGCGGCATCGGCGGCGTCGGTGTGGGAGACGAGGATGAAGATGGACGAGGTGAAGGGAGGGGTCAAGGTGTTCAGCGCCGGCGGGGACGACGCCGACGAGGAAGGGCTCAGGGTCTACCGCCGCCTCAGGCGCAACCAGAGCGACGGCGGCGGTGGCGCGTCGGGGTCGACGAATGCGGCGGCCGCGGCTAAGAAGAGGCGGAACTGGAAGGCGTCCGAGCCCGTCACCGCCATCGGGGACCTGCGCAAGTCGCGCTCCGACGTCGCCGTTGCCGCCGCGGCGCCGGCGGTCGGGATCGTCACCACCGCCAAGCGCTCCGTCACCAGGGTCACCACGCCGGAGAAGAAAGTGGCCGCCTCCGCCGCTGCCGCCGAGGTCAAGGAGGTGGTTGTGGTGGAAGTGCCGGAAACCAACAATTTGGATGAGGAAACAGAGGAGGAGGAGGACGAGGAGGAATTGGAAGAAGAGCTCGAAGCAGAGGATGAGGAGGAGGAGGAGGAGAAGGAGGTGCTCGACCAAGATCACATGGCCATTGACGACGACGAAGCTGCAAAATCAACAGCTCCGCATCAAGGCAAGTATCAACTCCTCCAGTGTTGCCATCACCAGGATTTCTTGATGAATTTGGTATTGATTCTTTTTTTCCCCCACAATTTCTCAGTGGATGACCAAGATCTTGAGCCACCGACAAAAAGTGAGACGCCAATTCAGCCAAATTTGCAAATTCCATTCTCATTTTCTGTTTGTTTTTTGCATGGCGCTCTAATTGTGCGATCATTTGGGTGAAAATTAAATTAGGAGGGGTTAAGATTGTCCCAACTTCAGTGGAGGATGAGAGAGCGGCAAATCCGGAGCCAGTCAAGCCTCCAGGTAGAACTCGGCCTAGTTCTTGGCCACTTTAATTTTACCTTTATTTGTCTTTTTTTTTTCTTTTGTTTCATCGTGCCAAGAATTTTCCGGTGATCCAGTAAAGAAGCTTGCCGCAACAATTGATCTCCGGGCGGTGAACCCAGAGCCAGTGACCATTCCACCAGGTGAATTCCTCCTCCGTGGATGCAAAACCTGTACCAATTTTAGGTGAATTTCGTTCTGTTTCACCATTCATCTCGAATATTTCCAAAATGCAGTGGAGAAGAAGGCTATGCCAGTGATAATTCACCGGATGACGAACGCAGAGCCAGCTAAACCTTCTCCAGGTAACCTTGACGAAATCATTTGTCTTCTTTTGGAGAACTTTTGGGGGGAAAGAAGAGATCAACTCGAAAGCAATCTTGTCATCTCCTGCGTCATGTGACTCCAATTTTTGTGGTTTCTCGGTTTCTTCAGAGAAAAAAGCGTCGCCACTGAACGGCCGCCGGATTCCCAAGCAAGATCCAATCAGTGCTCCTCCTGGTTAGTGCCATTTGTTTCTGCTATTCCTTGAATTGCTTTCTCCTACCGTTTTGGTATATTCTGAATATGGAAGTTGATTTCTTCCCCTGAAGTCGAAGAAGAGTACGAGGAGATTCAGGGCAGGCCATCAGTACCCAGCAGAAGCAATGGAAGAATGCAGAATATTGGTCAGTTATTTTTCCTTTTGTAGGAAAGATGCTTCTAGTTAATGAAATTGGAATTGATGGTTTTCTTTCTTCTTCTTGTTTCGCGTTGTTTTTTTAGTGGATTTGGTCATGTGGAGAGATGTCTCCAAGTCTACACTTGTCTTTGGATTAGGGACTTTTTTACTGATCTCCTCCTCCTATGCCAAAGACCTAAACTATAAGTAAGCCACTGTTCAGTATTTATTACTGCACTGTCACTTTGTTAAGTCTGAATTCTCAAAGCTGTTTAACTGTCAAAATTTGTTGACCTTTCCCTTCAAATTTATAAATCTTGCAGCACAATCACAGCAGCTTCATATCTTGGCCTAGTCTACCTTGGTCTAAGGTTCCTTAGCAAGTCCATACTTAACAGGTAGTAATGATTGTTATCCAGATTATCTGAATAATAATCACATAATTAACCAGCTTGTTGAAAGTGAGCTAATCTTTTATTTGATCATCAATTCAGGGGAGAGAATGTGGACTGTGATGATGCTGAGAGGAGTGGTGAAAGGTACCTGGTGGGGGAGGAGGAGGCCATCTGGCTGCTCAGGCTTGTTCTGCCTTACATCAATGAGGTGCTCCTGAATCTAAGGTCCCTCTTCTCTGGTGAGCCTGCAACAACCATGAAGGTAAAAAAGGGGCCATTGTCTGCTTCTGTAAATGCTACAGAGTTTGGCAAAATCACTGGAGTAGTAGATGCATGCATATGGACACATCTCTAGCTAGATTTGTACTGACAGAGGGACTCTACATGTGCTCTGCAGCTGGCACTCCTGCTGTTTGCAATGGCCCGGTGTGGCAACTTTGTCACCCTCTGGACACTGGCAAAACTGGGTAAGTACCAATGGAACAATGCACACATGCAAAGTGTTTTATGTCTGTAGCCTGTACATATCCTCCTGTCTCTACAGCCTCATCTCTTTCTTCGTTTCAACAACCTCATGGTGCTTTAAATCACAGCCAAACTAATGTTCATATGAACAATTTTGAGGAAATAGGTGTGATGAAATAGTATCTTCTGCACAATCTTAGCTTAAAAAACCTTGTATGATGCTAGGACCACAGGCATCAAGAAGTGCTGTTGCTTGTACAGATAAAGGTTAAAGATCTATAGCAATACTGGTCACACTGACATTTTTGTACCTTTGATCTGGCCTTGTTTGCAGTGTTCTTTGGGGTCTTCATCATTCCGAAGGTGTGCTCATCTTACTCCACCCAGCTTGCAAGATATGGTAAGTCCAAGCGCTCTCTTGTTTTAACCGCAATTTCTTTGTATTCTTCTGCATCACCAAAGTACCATGCACAGAAAGACAACATACAAGAATAACCTAACTCAGTCACCGACAAAGCGGCCCCACTGAATTCTACCATTAGTGGGGCCCTATTGCCAGTGACTCATCACTTTCACACCTTCTGTTCACTTTCAACATGCAAGAATACCATTTTTTATTTTTTATTTTTAGAGTTGAGGTTGTTGGATCTGGTAACATTGGTCACTGCTTTTACTGGTCCCCCGAGGCACTTGGGCATGTGCACGGGTAGGACTAGCTAGAGAGACTGTAAATTACTGAGCTAGGTAAATTATGGAGAAGGGTAGAAGAATTTTGTTGAGCTAAGGACAATGGTATTTGGGAGAGTACATTGAGACATATATGTACTATAAGTAGCAGTACTCCACTGTACCAGTACATCAGGGTTGTGAATCAACCCTTCTCTGAAGATTAGTCCTTTTCTGCATCTTCTGGGTTATGATCTGCAATAGAGCCAAATAAGATTGTTCCAAAACTAGTCCATCAGGCTGTCACCATGCTTGATTAACTGTTTCTCACATGCCATCTAAATTCATGTTGATTGGAAACAAACTGCAAATACTTGAATTGACCTTTACTTGCTCTTTACCACTTCCAAGGAGAACCAAGACTAATTTGTATTACTACTATTTAACCTACATTTAGGTAATAGTAAACTAAGAAATCACTCGGGGGGCGAAAACTAAGAATGGGAATGTGGTTAGTCCTAGGGCTTTGTTACTGATGGTAAAAAGGTAAACCGGTGACTTCTGTTTTGGAACAAAGTATTAGTACTAATAATACATTAGCTAATAAACAAAGCTACAATTGGACCTAGGTTTTGTGACTGATGGTAGAAAGTGAGAGTAAGCCGGTAACTTGTAGCTTTGAAGGAAAGGTAAATTAGGCAGAGGTGACTTTTGCATTGGAGGGAGAGCATGCACGGTTATTCCTCCTACCTTTTGCACGTGCGAGCTGTCGCGTGGTCAACATGGGCTTGATTGTCATTGAGATGCTTTGGCTGTCAAAGGATATTTACAACACTGATTGATGCTGTCTCAAGTGAACCACGCCTCCTTTGTTCCCTTTTTCTTTTCAAGGGCAAAGTTAAGAAGAATCTTTACCAACGGCTAAGGATTGTCTTACAATGCTATCATGAGGTAATAGTTCATTGTTAAAATTTTCACTAGTACTAACAATACATTAGCAAACATAAAGCTTATTTCGAAATATCTAATATGTTGCATTTTACCTTTATTTCATTATCTATATGATCACCATAGCGTGCCTTTAATATATCTGAAAAGATAAAGAAATTCCAAAAATATTGTCTGGGGAGAAAGGCATATTAGCATGAAAAGCAAAAGCAAGTGATTGTGGATTAGTGGGCCACTATTCTGGCCACCAACTCTGTCATAGTAGCTGATGTTATAGAGTTTTACTGTTTCGTTAGTGTCCTAAAATTATACTACGGAGTAGAACGTATGCACTGTCACCTTGTGATATATGACAAGGTGATATATGCACTGTCACCTTGTGAACGTATGCACTGTCACCTTGTGAACGTATGCACTGTCACCTTGTGATATATGACAACAAAATTAATTTGAACCAGAGCTCCAGCTTTAACTACTCTTGACCTTTCTGCTTGGACCATAGATTTGTCTCTTTGTTGACCAAATTAAACATAAACTGATGGTAGTACGTGCTAGAGTAGACATCAAGCCTAGCTTGCCCACTGTCAAGTGCCTTTAATCACCATTTAATTAGTCACATTTTTTTTCTAGTAGTCACATCACTAGGGTAGCTGGTTAAGAGTATCAATTTCTCCATTACAGCCAGAAAATGACAGGTATAGTCCTGTGAGGACCTCTACTCTTCTTTTACTCATGGAACTTATAAAATGGTTACATAGCTCAGTACCTTCAAATATACTCATTTTAATTTTCCCCTTCCATATGATACTTGAGAACCTTGTAGTTAACCATGAGAACCATCCTAGCAGAGGACGCTTCATGGTCATCATGTGTACCAGTAACCCTGGCAGGATGAAATTGCACTGTTACACAAAAAAATGTTGGTGTCTGCTTGCATTGGGATTCTTTGATCTAGGCATGTACCCGTCAGTACTGAAGCTTCCTAGCTTTGCTCTTTTGCATGTGAAGTGTTGGGCATTTGGTCACTCCCCCTCCACAAGCACCACATACATGACTGTTTTGTGGGGTCCTAATATTTGTTTGTTTACCAACCCACCACCAACCCATGCCAGATGCAGCTCTGAAAATTAATCAGGGACGCTCTAAACAAAATGATGATGTTCTGCTGCCATATCTGACACTTGTTTAATTTGATTAGAACTTGAGGTGATTTTCTGGTACCTGTACCAATTAAAAACCATAATGAGGTGGGGGAACAACATTTCATGATGTTGATTGTGATCAAAAGGTGCACCACATATAATAAATTTACTATATATACCAAATCCATGAATTTCTCACGACTGTATAGTGACTAGTGAAGCCGGTAGATAGCTTGTCACTCTCCAAAGGTTAATGTCCACGTCTTTTTTTCCCATTTCTAAAGGTTCCTCATTTCATTTGATAGCACAAAATTTCCTGTTGATAACGGAAATCAGACATATATGACAAAATGGAAGAAATACATCTCTCTCATAGGTTAGGCTACGGAGTATGGAGCAACAGCGGCACCAATCCATTTTGCTTTCCAAAGGAAAAGAAAGCTCAAAAGGAGGGATAAAAAGCATGGCTATCTTTATCCTCGGTTATATCTCCATCTTTTGTTTTTCAGGACATTGATTAGGTCACTTAATTAAACCCAACTTTACTTACCCTTAATCATAATGTCTAGTCCGTTCTGATGAATAAAGCGATACTCAAAAAAAGGTAAGATGTCAGGAATCCGACAAACAGGGCAGTAAGCAAACTGCAATTAGTTGAACATGATACTACCCCCTAGGCTGAAGGACTGGATTACCATAATGCAAAAAGAACTTGAGCTTAACTAATATTTCTTTTCTCTTTTTTGTGTGTGATTTTCTTATTGTACAAATTGAAATGTGTTTATTGGAACGAAATTAAAGTGTCTTTTCCTGTCCATGGCAGGGAGGTTTTGGCTGGAGAGGTTCAGGGATGGATGGGAGTCCTGCTCCCACAAGAAGGCGGTCGTGGCAGCCGTCTTCACCCTTGTCTGGAACGTCTCATCCACGGTTGCTCGTGTCTGGGCTGGTAACTACCTTCTCCCTGTAAAAGCATCCACGATCCATCCTGCACTCACAACAGTTTCCACAGTCTCAGTGCTCCACCTCACCTAGTATGAATAGAATTAAATGAGTTTGTTTCCAGATTCGTAGTAACCTAAAATCATTTATACTTTAGGACGGATTTGAGTAAGAGAGAGTGATGTGACAAATGAGTTCACAAAGAGTTGCAGATAGTATCTCCCGTAAGACACTAATAATTGAGAAATCTAATAGAAATGTGAGAGTGAGAAATAATGGTCTTACAATTTGTACTAGAAACTATAAGATAGTTGATTGTTGGCACCAATCTGTAACTCCCAAACTCTAGAAAAAACTTTCTACACTGTGTGGTATTTTGGAGTGCTGATCACCATCAACCTCTGCTGTGTATGTGCAGTGTTCATGCTGGTGGTGGCCATGAAGTGCTACCAGCAGCGGATGATGGAGTACGGCTGGAGCAGCACGGTGGAGGACTCACAGGAGGCCACCGCCGCCGCCACCGGCGACGATGAGTCACCGCAGGAAGAAACTCCTGCTAGATCAAGCCCGGCCAAGGCGCACGACCACGAGCCGGCACAGGGATTTGGGGCGGCGGCGCCGGCGCGGCATCGCCGGACGCCAGTCTCCGGCGAGTTTGCAAGGGAGAGGCTGAGAGTGAGGGGTGGCATCCAGCCTAGGTGACAGGACAAATCTGTGGATGCCGTATGTTTTTTTTTTCTTTCATTTTTTTTACATTGTGGTAGTTTTGGGTTGTGAGGACGTAATGTCACGAAATGGTTCACGGAAATAATGAGTATGATCCACACATAGGAGTTCCATATAATAGAATGGCTATAGAAATTAATATATTTCTCCACACATCTCACTTCCTCCATTTCAGAAATTTTAATTTCTGCTACAAATCTACAGCCTACACTAGCCATGCATAACACAAAACGTACATGCAAAAATTGATGTTTTTTTTTTCAAACAGCTAATCAGATTGACTGGTGTTATATTAATGGGGCAATTTCATTTCCACCCCTACTTTGATGTCTAATATTGATTTTATCTCTACTTTTTAGGGTTTTCGTTTTTATCCTCATTTTTTTAACCAAACGCTTGTTTTGCCTGTACTTTGGATGGTAAAGTTAACGGCGTTAAGTAATTGATAAAATGACATTTATACCCTCTCATGTATGTTCATTAATTGTGTTTTTGCCCCCATTTTATACATATAGCTTTGGAACTTTATTTTTGGGAGTATATTTAAAACTAGATGACGCACATTGACTAGTATAACAATTTGGCCAAATTCTGAATTTGATGGAATTTTGACAAAATTTCAGCATTTTGATAGAACTTAAACAAAATTTTGACAACATTTTGTAAAATGTAATTATCTCTTCCCTTTAGATATTAGTCAATGTGTTTTATTTAATTTTAAATATACTCACAAAATAAAGTGCTAAAGCTACATGTATAAAATAGGGGCAAAGATATAATTAATGAACAGGTATATATGAGAGGGCATAAATGTCATTTTGCCAATTACTTAACACCGTTAACTTTACCATCCAAAGTAGGGGCAAAACGATAGTTCGGTTAAAAAAAGTGGGGGTAAAAACGAAAACCCTAAAAGTAGGGGTAAAATTAATATTAGACAACAAAGCAGGGTTAGAAACGAAATTGTCCCATATTAATAGAGGGAAGTTGAGTTACACAGCTAAAGGCTCAAAGAAAGTAAAAACTGCACACGCCTGATTGCAAACATGTTTGCACGTTATGCAAAAAAAATGATGTGAAGACCTCATCTTTGAGATCCATTAGGGCTTCCAAAATATTCCGACTACAAACTGACTCATGTGGACTGAAACCGTACGGATCACAATGTGAATAAAAAGATATTGGTAGTTAAGACATTGTAGTGAAGCCCAAGTCTCTTTCAAATGCTCAATTCAGTCCAATTAAGACTATGTATTTCCAAATTATGCCAAGGACAAAACAATTTTGGCATATCATGCATGGAACATTTAAAGAAAATTCTCAGGCATTCATTTTTCTACGCTCCACCTTTAAAAAACTTTGCAAATACAAAAAAATAAAACAAGGGTGCAAACAACATTAGCACTCTTCAAAACCTATTGTTGAAACGGATTGTTTGCCCCATGCTAAAAAAAAACATTTTAGAAACAACTTTCTCCAACTACTTGTTGTAGCTACTTGTTAAGTTTATTTCTTAAAATGTTTAAGCTATGTTTATAATATAAATAGACAATCTACACAATAATCCGTTCAATAAGCTAAACTAAATGGGACCTTACCGTAGACTGCTACCACAACATGCACATAGATTATAGATAGCAGGCATGTCATAAAGCTAAAGAGAAGAGGAGACTCGAACAATCACCAATGGAACAAATCATGGACATCCCAAAAAAATCTAGCATTTTCATTCGTCCATCAAATTTGGCCATGTATATGTAAACTGATCAGCTTGGGATTTGGTTTGGTCATAGGCCCAGGCCGACCCATGGAATCTTGGACCAAGATCACATATACTTCGTGAAAAATTGTTGGATCTATTGGGCTTTGTTTCCTACGCTTCTGTGTCTACCCATGTGATGAGTGTATCATCTCTTACTATAATAAAACCTAAAGCTTAACATACAAAGATGACACGTCATCATTCACTAACAATTATTACATTTAAACATCATACAAGCATGTTATATTATTAATAATTTTATAGTTTATTATATTTTATAGCTTTTCAAATATAAGCATGTTAAATCATCATATCACATAATTCACATAATATTTCAATATGTTTCTTCATCTTTTTTTATAATATCATATATACCTATATTGTCCATCCTAACTCCTAACTTAGTTAATGTGCTCTCTCTCTCTTCTCTCATTAAGCCATATCACATCAATTGTTTTGTCCTTAGATGATTATCTATTGTTCAAATTATCTCCCTCCTTTTCTTCTCTTAAGAAGTCATATCACCTCAATCGTTTTTAGCCTTTAGATGACTAATCTATGATCCAAACTATCTCCCTCCTTTTCTTCTCTCATAAAGCCACATCAGATTAGTTTTACATTTGAATCATCATTGTGTATACTATTTAAATTTAAACTAACATAAACCACATAAACATACAAATCACATCAACTTAAATAAGTTTATATTGTCTGGCTATCTTATACATTAATTTTAATTAGTGCTATCATAATAAATTCTTGCAGCAATGCACGGGGTTTCACCTAGTATTTAAAATAGTAAATGCACTGCATTTAGATTAGCTAGGTTCTTTTGTCTAAGACTCAGCCTTTGGCACCAGCCTAAATATTGCCATACTTGCTTGTTACTTGCTGGCAAAATTTGCTATAGGACATAAAAAATATGTAATTAGCTAGGGGACACCACAAGAACATGTATCTGCTATATGGCACCGCAAAAAATTGGTAATTAGTTGCTGGACACCCACGATATTATTTTATAGGCAAATTTTGCTATAGGACACTTCGACTTCGTGGTTTTAGCCATAGGACACCGCCCGAACTCACTTTTGGGGGAAAACACTCCATAAATGTGGTAATTTGCCAATAGACACCGTGCCAATTAGAATAATAATTTCTGGTTGAAAAGGAGAGAGAAATCACGTGAAATGTCAAAAATGCCCTTGGGCCCACATGTCAGCTCTCCTATCTCTCTTCTCTTCTCTCTCTATCTTCTCCTAGGCGATGCTGGTCACCGCCGCGCCACTGCCGCGTGGTACCTTCTTGAACCGCACCCACATCTGCTTCAGGTCGCTCGTCGACAGCACGTCCTCCCGCCCATAGCTCGCCCGCCACTTGCTCTCCTCCGGCAAGATCGGGTACAGCAGCAACGGGAGCCGCAACAGTAGCCGCACCCCGTCCTGCGCCGTCCCGAGCACCGCACCGTCCTAGATGCGCGGTGGATCCCCATCACGACCTGTCCCACCTCTCCGATCTCTCTTGATCTCCTCCGGCCGGCCGTCACCACCGTCCGTCTTCGCACCATCATCGTCGTCATCGTCGCCATCGCCACTGCCGCACTCGCCGTCGCCATGCCGACGCGGCTGCCATGGCCGACGGCGGCCATCACCTGCACATAGCGCCACCGCCGTCGTCAAAGCCGCCGCAGCTGTCGCCGCCGTGCGCCACGATCTTGATCTCGAGGCCATCCGCCGCCGCCTCCTCGTCGTGGTCCTCACCCTCGCCACCGCCGCCCCACGCGGCAAAGGCGTAGTCACCACCGCGCCGCAGTTGCCACAGCCGCCATCGCCGTGCGTCGTCGTTGGCGTCGCCGCTGCCACAACCGGGACAGCTGCCGCCGCACGACTGTCGGTGCTCCTGGCGCTCAACTCCGTAGACGACGGCGCTCCCGGTTGAAGAAAGATGGAAGATATGACATGTGGGCCCAAGGACATTTTAGAACTTTCACGCGATTTCTCCTTCCTCTTCAACCGGAAATTATTATTTTAATTGGTGCAGTGTCCATTGGCAAATTACCACGTTTATGGAGTGTTTTCCCCTAAAAGTGAGTTCAGTTGGTGTCCTATGGCTAAAACCATGAAGTCGAAGTGCCCTGTAACAAAATTTCCCTATTTTATAATATCCAAAAGGAAATAGAGAGAGAAACAGTTGCCAAAATAAGATTTTGCTTATGGAGAAGTTTCTATATGCTGCTTGGAATATTTGGAAGCAAATGAATGGTTTCATTTTTGATAAAAAAAAATTCCATCTTTGTCTTCTTGGAGGCAACTCTTGAAGAGTGATCTCCTTCTTTTGTTGTTTAGGACTAATGCGAGATATCACGATGTAATTATAAGCTGGATCAATCTGTTGTAATTTGTACCCTTTCTTTTTAATAAAAATTTCTTAACAGCAGGGGCCTCCCCTGCTGTGTTCTCTTCCAAAAAACGATTTTGCCCCTGCCTACCAAGTCTAGCTCGCATACAGCTCCGACGCTGCCACCGCTGTCGCTGCCGTTGTTGGCAAGGCAGCTCTCTGGGTGTTCAAGAGGGCCCACGCGCCTGGGCCTGTGGCTCCGCATCATTCCCACGCTCGTCGTTGCTGCAACATGAGGACCACGCCGGTGCTGAACATGTGGCCACCGCGATGTCGGAGCTATATGCGAGCCGCAAAATCGTACATTCATGGCTATTTTTCTCTCTATTTACTCTAGATATAATAAAATAATACTACGGGTGTCCAACAGCTAATTACCAGTTTTTTTTGGTGTTCCACAGCTGATATGCATTTTTGCAGTGTCTCCTAGCTAATTACACTTTTTTTTTATATCTTGTAGCAAATTTTGCCATTAAATGGCTTAACTGTAGCTATAAGGCTTAGCCTGAGATTTGAAGCATTGGGTAGCTCCCTTCGTGTCAGCAACGGGCGCGCATATTGGCTCAACTGGGAGCTCCTAATGAATAACAACCCCTTGCAACCTGCCCACCTAGGGGGTACAGAGGACATGAAGCTTTGATCAAGCTATGGTACGAAGTTCGAAGAACACGCGCGACTTGAGGTTGGCGGCGAGCTAGAGTGACTTATTGGGGGTCGAGTTGCCAGCGAGGGCCTGCCGACCTGCGCGACGGCTACGACGTGAAGCGCATGTGTTGTGTTGGCCGTCAGATAGCCTCGCCTTCCGTGCAGAGGTCCATCCCCATGGACGATGCCGGTAGGACCAGCCGCTGCGGCAACAACACATATTGGTGCAAGCAGTTAAATTATTATAGGTTTTATAAGGAATTTGGCCGACTCGTCATGTCCATCTTGGCCTCCGTCTCATCTGATCATCTCCCTCTCCAACACCACATAGAATTCGAGTTTTACTCTTCCCTG